TCTGTGATTCCTTTTCTACCTCCCTTCTTGCCCCTGGGGAGGATGCCTAGGACTTTGCTTATTCAGTAGGGTTTAGCTTTCTATTTGCACCTCTGGTTTTGAAAGATATAAGAAAAAATAAAGTAATTCTTAAAATTCTGTCTTTAAATGCAGAATTGATTCTTACCATTGTCTACACGTTACTGCAGTGAGTCTCCTATGAAAAGTAAGATTTCACTGTGACACCTTATCTCATTGCTAAAATCACGAAATACAGACACAGAAAAGAGTCCTCATTCAAAACTATCACTACAGAGACAGGACAGATAATGAAATGAAACTCACCTAGAGCACCAAGACAGGTAAGTCAGGAGATCTTTTTAGGAGACTCCGGCGATGTTCTTGCTTTTATACCTTTTTGCAGGCAACTCTAGGGATGTGAAGCATCTCATAAAATCTCTAGCACTTACCAAACTATGAGTTTTCTTTTGTGGGTAACTCCTCTGATACCTGTAATTATTTTCATAGTTTCTAATTAATAAATCACCCACAGACCTACACAATATGACTCTCATATAATAAATTTGGACTTTTTATTGTGTTGAAATTTTACAGCCAAATTCCTATGCAATATCATTCTGCTGACTACACGAGATTTACAAGGGAAACTGATTGACCCCTGCTTATTACTTTTTGCTAATGATTTACCAACAAGGGCCGCCCAGAAAGATCAACCCTGCAAGTCTGCTTTCAAGGATGGCCTGATCCCAATGCTGAGCAACATGACATGATTTTGAAGGTCTACCTCACTTTTAAGTTTGAGATCCACCTTGGAGCAAAAAGACCTGGTGAACTTTGGGTAGGCCCTTGCAGTGGCCCCACTAGCACCCTCATCACAAGGCTCTCAGCAGAACACCCCAAAGTGAATTTTGGTACATACTTGGGCAAAATTACTCAGAGGACTCAGAGCCTAAGGGAGATGTCATGCGTCACTTTAATCTCATTTATCTGTGTTTTGAAATAGTTTTTTGCAGGGCTTTGTCCTGGCCACTGCTCAAGAATAATTTGTGAGGCCTGATTCTGTCATGGTGCTGTAGCCTTCGTTTGGCCAAGAGATACAGGCGGGGTTGCAAAGAGTGCTGACCTCTCCTCCAAGGTGCTATTGGACAATTCTATTTGGAAGGTATTATACATAAATCCAAAGCTTACAAATAAATTGTGAGATTGACACATCAGTAAGCCACCTTCTTTAAAGCCGTTAAAAAGAAGTAAACCAAGAAATCAATTCCTGTTTCAGTTGGAACCAGAATGATGTCGAAATGATTTTTTCCATTAAATCTGAGACAAAAGGAAACTGCTGGGTGTTGGATGCATGTCACTCAAAGTAAATGGATCACTAACCATGAATTGAAATTAAAACAATTACCAGGTTTAGAAACATATCTTTCTCTTGGTAAATGACAACAATTTAGTGAATAATGGATGACCTCATAACCTTCTTGTTGACTATGAAAGTATATAAAAGGATAGAGAACTAAGAAATCTTCTATTCTTCCAGCTCCATTGACTTACTCCTGCAAGACAACAGGGTAAGTCTAACTTCATTTCACTTCTTTGTAGCTATATAATACTTAAAATGTACCTTTTTTTTTTTTTTTTTATTGTGCAAAATGCTAACAATTTTGGAAAAACTGAAGTAAAGAGAAGAGTAAATTTAGCAAGATTTCTTATAAAAGTTGGGGAAAGGGAACTATAGAGCAAGGAAGATTCAGTTACTTTGCTCTGGAAATTTTCTGAAGGTACAGGCAAAAGTTCCCATAGGTCTACTTTGAAAAGAAAATTAATGGGACTTTTCTGAACAAGTAATTGTATAAGGATCAGGTAATCTAATCTCAGAGAAAAGAGCAATATTCTTTGAGAGATTCAGAAGTATAAGAGATGTGAATAGTACACAAAAGAAGAAGAAGAAGAAGAAGAAGAACTGAGAAGCCTTAAAAAGAGACAGTCAGGAAGGAACTAGCAGGGAAAGCGAAGACTGTGAGGCAGGGTTGAACTGGTGAGTTGATGGGCAGCTGGCAGAGAAGGACAAGGTGCACCTGGCTCATACTGGGAACCTGATGACACCTGACCGTGATAACTTCCTGACTACATGTTGCCTTTTCCAGCTTCACCTCAATCCTGAGAACAATGTACAACAACATCAGCTCCCGGTGCCTGCCCTCCTGTGAGGTGATGTGCACTCAGCCGTGTGCCTACAGCAGCAGCCTTGAGCCCTGCGTGACCTCGTGTGGGGACTCCAGAGCCGTGGTGTACGCCCCACCAGTCATCATCACCTTCCCGGGCCCGATTCTCAGCAGCTGCCCTCAAGACAGCATTGTGGGAACATCGTTTCCTCAGCCGTATGGTGCTAGGAGCTCACAGAGCTCTGATGAGTCCTCGGGGATGGGGGGCTCCTCTGGCTCCGGGGGCATGTCAGGGATGAGAGGTTCCTCTGGATCCGGGGGCTCTTGTGGGTATGGAGGCTCCTCAGGGTTGAGGGGCTGTTACAGCAGGCTGTTCTACAGCAGCAGCCGTGGGTCCCGCCTTGGGAACTGTGGCTCCTTCTAAGGCAGCCCAACTACCCGCACAACAACTTAGGAGACGAAAACGCAAGATCCGGATCCGCAGCTGGGGCTGGCTTTCAGAGATGGTGAAAGCCCATTGCATCAACGGGAGCCACCCTTGCTCACCTCTGAAAACTCGTCCCACGCCTCTTTTTTTCCATGTTGTGCCTTATCTTCTATCAATAGCAATTTCAAATGATGGTTTCTCTCCTTAAATTCTTATTAGTCTTGTACTGCGTCCTTTCTGGTGGAGTGGAAATGGTTCAGAATTTGCAAGTGGGACTTTGTTGCAAAGGCTTCAGCTTTACCTTGTAACATTCAGTGTCTTTTATCGTTGACATGGACAGTCTGGCAGCCTTTGGGCTGCAGAATAAACCATTAATGAACTGCACCAATCTATTCTATAGTACTTATTTCATGTCATATTAAAAGTCTTGTTAAATCATTAATTTTCCAGTTTTCATTTTCTTTCATTCTGCTTTACAAACTAGTTTTAGTGAAATATGAACTCAGTGGGAGTCAAAATAGGAGGTGGAGCTCCATATATGTAAAGGGAAATAGAATTCAGTACCCTGATGAGTGCCTGTACTTCTTTCTGTGTAGGGAAGTATTTCTATATATTTTAGTGGCTGAGGCTGGAAGGAGTCATTCATAAGTACTCATTTCAATTTGAGGACATTTTTGATAATGTGGTTTGCAGAGGATGAGTGGTAACTGTACCTACATTCAGCTCCATGAAGTTGCACTCACACAATGCTAAGAGGATCAGAGTCAAGGATTTTAAGGCTGAGCCAGGAATGTCTATACAAACTGCCATACAGGTGACTTCAGTGAAGGTGATGCCTCACAATTTACAAAGGAGAGTTACACCTCCACACAGTTCTTACTCAATAGGCTGAGGAATGAAACATTGAGTAACGAGAGTGAAAATTACTGGGGCATTGCTACCACAATCTTATCTGTGGTGCACTAGAGCAAAGTCAGACATTCCTGAGCTGAGTCTAAAACTGGAGCCACAACTGCCAAGTAATTCCTTCAGTACTTTGGGATCCCAGTGTGTACACACGCATCTTTGCACAGGTCTTCAAGCAGCTCAGAATACCAATTCTGCACTAGGAGGAAGGATTTATACCCAAATAAAAGCAATCCTATTTCTTTAACAATCAAAATATATGTTATTACTTAAATCTGTGGATTATGATCTGACTAGAACATCATTACTTTGCTTGATAGGTTTCTCAAAGTAATGTATTACTGCTGGGTGATATAATTCAAGCACTATTCTGTTAAAGTTATGGTGCGGCACATTGTGTGCATAAGCCCACAGTACGAGTAGAGCTATTTGAATATTTCTTCTAAGATTTTCTGTTTGAAATTCCTATTTCATCAAAAGGCTTGCAGACATATTATCTTAGGAATCTGTGTAAAAGATATCAATGAAAAAAAATTTAAACCCAGATGCAAAGTTGTGGTGGAAAAATCTGCTTCTCAGACAGTTCTGGTAATGATTGTGCATGAGGCACTTTGTGATCCTTAATTCTGAGAGAGCACAAGGACATTCACGTAGCTGTTGCCTGAGGGATCCCATGGTGATGTTTAACAAGCTCAGATCATTTACTGCATAAATGCTTCAATTAAATTAACAAACCACAAGGATTAAGACAATCAAAAGAAGGAAATTAATGTTATGCTTGGCACAACAGCACTTTCTCAGCCTACACACAAGCCCTCTCTTGTCACTAACAGCAGCGCAATGGAAACAGCTCCTAAAGAAAAATATTGATACAGCTGCTGGGATGAATTTCTCAGCTTACCTCAAGGCACGTCCCAGAGAGCAAGAATTGTAGTCTGATTCTCAGTTGCATACAAATAATTTCTTCTCATTCCTTTTGGCCCTGCCTCCCCACAATTCTCAGCTCTAGGCTAACCCCTTTCTCTTTCCAGTTTATAATCAGATAAACTATTTTACCATCAAGACTAGATAAATCAGAGCACAAATTTGCCTTCTGATGTAATCGGGACCTGTTCAGTGATTTCAACCCCTGCTGAAGGTTAAAACAATTTCCTCAGGGATATTCAAGGAATGACTGGTAACAGCTCTGAGTAACTGACCTAGCTTCAGTTACCTTGGTTTTGAGTGGGAGCTGTACCAGACCATCTTCAGAGGTTGTTCCAACCTAAAATATTATATGATTCTGTTCTATTTATTAGTATGAGACATCAGAAATGGAAAAAATACTTTCCTGAAGAATTGCTGACAAATTATGTTAGCCATACAGAGGAATTAATTATTCTCTGATAATAGTCCTTGATTAATGCATAAGAATTGACGTAAAAAGCTAACTTCTTTCAGACTAGTTTGTATCTATAAAACTGCATTGAAATGAAAGCAAGACAGTGCTATGATGCAAGAGGGCTTTAATACAAACAAAAAGTGGAATACATTCTTGCAGAATGAGGCAATGCAGAGACAAAGAATGTAATTTCCATTTCAACAAGGACTATAATCAATCAGTTGTTCGGAGGAGCACAGGGCTCACAAGACATTCTTCTTTCAGCTGGACACTTTCACAGTCAAGTCCCATTACTTGTTTTACTCTCTTCAGGTTCAGAAAGAACAAAACATAACATGAGCAAACGACAAAGTGAGGCAACATTGGGATTGTAAGCCTTAGAAAAAGCGCAACAAGATTCCAAGCAACCCCAGCTGGAGAAGAGGCTGCTTGGCATATCTGAGTTCCAGGTCTATCTGTCAGCTACTAGTTTGCATCCTATTGTTCCTTCAGTTATTACTCTTTCTTAAAGATTTAAAATGGCCCATAGTTTCCATAGCGATACCTATAATACCCTCTGGAAAAAAAGGGGAAATAATTTCTACCAAATCCTGAAGAAAATGAGTTTCGGTAAAAGCTTCCCAAACGGTAGAGTCCACCACCACATGAGCCCTCCCCACTGTATGAGCCCCCTCCCATGCCACCATAAGAACAGCCAGAACCATGAGACCCCATTCCATAGGAGCTGCCTCCACCACAGGAACCACCAGAGCCCATTCCCCCACCTCCGGAGCCCATTCCCCCACCTCCGGAGCCCATTCCTCCCCCAATTTCAGGCATGGCCGTTCCCACAATGCTTTCCTGAGGGCACGAGCTGATAATGGGTCCCGGGAAAGTCACGACAACGGGTGGTGCCCACACAATTGCTGTTGAATCTCTGCATGAGCTGACACATGGTTCGTTGCGACAGTCGACATAGGGTTGTTGGCATGTCACTTCACATGGCTCAGCACAGCGGGAGCTAAGCATCTGTCCATAGGAAGACATCTTTCCAGAAGGCAGGTCAGCCTGAAAGGCAGAGAGTACACTAGCCTGCTAAAGTTACAGCCACAAGAGTGAAAGAACAAATCCTGTTATAGTAACATGTGTTGCGCAGATGTGTTGAATGGCATTCATCTGAACAGATGAAGATACATACGTCCAGGTCTTCTACACTAAACTTGAATTAGTCATTAAAAAAAAAAAAAAAATCACCATTTCAAAGGCACAATCCATTCCAGTCTAAAGTAGACTTGTGCATTACAAATCTCACCAATTAAGTGAGATGAATCGCTGGGTAGAGGTTTCTGAGTCTATTCCCACTCCTCTCTAGTTCTCCATTGCCCTGTAGACTATTCCAGAAATGAGTTCTGGGAAGAACGTCTCTCCGTCCTTTTCTCTCATCATTGCTTTTGCTGTGCTTTTTTTCTGGGAGTCAGTAATGTTTTTCGAGTGTTCTGTCTCCATAGATAAATGCTCAATTCCTAGGAGTTGTTACCATCCAGGTTTTTGAAACTCTCATTCATTTTTCCCCTGGCACGTGGCAATACCTATATCCACCCTATTTGCAAGTTAGTTTCCAAGTAAAATGTCTTTAGAGAATGAGGTCCTACGCTAAAATAAGGTAGGATCTATAACCTCATATTAATGCTACCTATAAATCCATGTCTATAATTACGAACTGATTCAGTTAAATCAGACTTACCCAGTCACCAAGAAGAATAAGTCAGCAGAGGCAGCTACAGACACCTGAGTTACGAGCACTTTTATATGGTGTCGTAGAGAATAGAAATTAGGAGATACCTTTACGCAACCATTCTCTACATCTTGTGAAACAGAATGTTTTCCCCTTGTGATGCTTTCCTTTGTTGCAACTGTTTTGATAACAGCTTATGATTATTAGATAATTTGCAATCCCACCCAACATGATGCACACACTTTAACCATCTCATCTTTTTGCTGAAAATCTTACAATAAATTGAGGTTGATTTTCTCTTAAATACTTGTGATGGTAGCTCAGAGTTGAGTAAACTACACGTTGCTAGTGAGCACAGAATTCCAGTTTATCATTTGTCATCTCAGGTAATAATAACTAGTGGCCTTCTAGATTTTTACTCTTTAAAGGTAGGAAATATTTTTACATTAAATATCCATTAGCATCCGTGGCCATGGTATACTCGCTCCAGGGGCTTTGGGACTGGAGTTAAAGACGTGGGACTGTCCCTTAGACAGGTGTTCTCCTACACGAATATACCACATCCCAAGTAAGTAGAAAGCAAGAGATACCAAAGCAGTTCACGGACGCTCCTGTAAGCACTAGGATCAGCCACAATAATCTAATTCAGCCAAGGAGAGGCACCTGTCCAAGCTTTGAAAATTTATCGGCAGTTCCTCGTCTCCCAGACTCATCTCCTTACAAGGTGCCTTGAGAATAAACACCAAAAAAATACTAATAATGTTGAAGAAATTGAATTTGCCTTTCTAAATATGCTTATTGAAGGCCAATATGGGGAGAGGAACAGTATACATCACCTGTGGGACTAGAGGAGCCAGAGGAAACATTACTTGAAGTACAGGTCCATAACCTCAGCTTGAATAAATTCACAAGGCCTGACAAATGCTGATACTGTGATTCACATAATCACATTTACATTAAAAAAACCTCTGAGCTATGCTGCTGTGGCAAATTATTAAAACTAACGCTAAAAAAATATACAGATTGTTTTATTTACATTTCATGACCGTGAAATCAATATAATGACCAGAGGAATGTATGCAGCCAATAGAGATGAGACAGCAAGCTGCACAGAATAATATGACTCACATAATTTGTGGGAATGCAAAGTAATTAATAATTAAAGCAATTGACAACTGAAGCAATTAAGGAAGTTACCAAACAAAATATTTTATAAAAGTTAGCAAGGACCTCATTGTTTTTGAGGTACTTCAAATGTATAGAAAACTTGTTCAAAACAGTTTCTTAACACACACTGAAGGATCACACTGGCTTGACCATCCACACAGTATGCTTTCTGTAATTGATGCTCTTCCCCAGCAGCTTTCAATAAAGGGAATTCATGTCTTATATAAGGTAGAAAGCCATAAAAACAAATAGTCTTTCAAGTTCAAACTGTAATCAGTTCTCATACTCTATAGATAGCCTTTTAAAAATATAAGACACAAAATGCAAAAAAGTCATTAGAAATAGTCCAACACCCATTTTCACAACACCTGAACCTCAGTGGCCTTATATCAAAAAATTCTTTTAAAAATACAGAAATAGATATCCTCCCTCACCAAGTAAAAGCTAAATACTTCTGAAAATATGAAGAAAAGACATCAAGGATTTTGCATTTTTCTCTAAAGGATGTGTTGTTTCATTTACAGAGCAACAAATTTACATAAACCAGCAGTCTGGCATAGCTGAGAAATCCCAGACTTGGTACTTACAGCTTTAGATTTAAACTCACCTCACATAAAGCAAATCTGAAGCATTATCTGAAAGATTCCTCATCTTGTTTTTTCTTGCTTGTTGTTGTTGTCAGCGGCTTTATTGATTTTCTGGTTTTAGAAATCCCAGTACTGTGCTCTGATCCTTGCACAGCTGTTTTGCATACAAAGATTAAATCTTAAAGAGGAAGCTGGTTTAATTGCTATTGCTCTCACCTGTGCCATGCTATAATTTTCTAAATTGGTCTGAAAGCTTGCTTGTCTGAAAGGAAATGGCCTATATTATTATCAAAGATTGTAGCAAAACATTACCTTTAACCTTAATTTTTCCACAGATTTTATCATAGCAATTCCAGGAAGATAATGCTTGCAAGAAAAAAAAAACAAACAAACAAACAAACAAACAACACCATGCAGCAAAATAAATAAGCTAAAATATGGGAATCATTGTGCAAGAGTACAAACTTAAGGCTTCTTTGGATCCTGGAGATCCACAGTTTGGCATAAGTTTCCAGTGTGGAAAACAGCTACCACCTGGAAAATGATTTCCAAATCTGCTGAAACTGGAGGGTCAATATTACTGAGTGCTTTTTCATTGCCTAATTGCAAGACTGAAGATGAAATAAGGAACTAAAGGACTAGATCACCACTGACTGCTCTTTCATTAGATGTACATTCAGTGCTATTATATTGCTCAGATAATAGCAGTATCTTGGGTTTGTATTTTTATGTTCATTGTGAGTTGTGCATTACATTTACTTGATTCCCTTTGTTCATCCCTATTAAAAATAAATAAATAAATCTCTTTTTATTGACAGCACTACTGCCCTCCCTGTGTTTGGAGCTGTTGGAGATGATTTACTCAGACTATGCTACTGTAAGTATAGGAAACCTCGTGACCAGACAACAGAAAAAAAAATGAGTCCAGAATGATGCTCGAATTTGTAGTTTTCCATAAAAACTGATGCTTCCACCAGTTCCCCAAATCAAATGAACTTATTTTATTCTTGAAATCTCACTCACATCTGCCTTCTGTTTCTCAGAATCTATCTTATCTTTATAACAATCTTCTCCAGTAACCATCTCTTAGGACCTAAAACCGCTGCTTGCTTGTACTGTCTGTCACTCGGTGGAGCAAAACAAGTCATTGTGCCTGAAAGTTGGACTTGGTTGTGTAACTGTGCGGTTGCCACAGGAGAAAGGAGACCATAGGGGTTCGATTCAGTTCCAGATTGAGATAACTACACTTGTGTGTCTGAAAATACCTATCTGGGTTTCTCTCAGTCAGCAGACACATCTGGTGGAGCCTGGAGATCTATCCACGTATTCACCTTTCCATAAATGTTTGCATTACATCAAGTATGCAGTTCTGCCGTCTCTTTGAAGTACTGTCTCACTGTCCTTTGAGAGCACTGCAAGTTTAGAAATGCCACTGATATGGAGACCCTGTATTCAGCCACCACTGCATGTTCCAGTTTCCACTGGCACTAAAATGACTTTTCTATTTTTTTTTTTCCTTTTCCACACTCCTCACTTAATTCCCTTTTAGCAAAATTCACCCTGATCCCAGAGGAAATTCATAGTCAGTGACCTCAGCCTACCCATCTCCCATATATATTCTGAATACCTGCTCTCATCTTTAAGTATTTAATGGCAAAATTCAGCTCACTTGTTACATGAATTTCCTCTCTTATGGATGGATAGGTTTGGTTATGTTTTCTAGCTACAGTACAACAAAAGGTGGTGATTAAATCATTACACACATGATTAATTCTGAAGCTGAAGAATTCTTCCCCATCACTAAATGATATTTGCTTAGAGCTCAGGAATAATTACACTACTGCAATCTTACCAGACATCTTTCATCTTAAAAACAAAACAGAGCTAATGCTCTTTAATATATGAATGCTGCTCTCCTCCATAAAACCTGAGGGTCTGTGAAATTGCAGCCCAAGGTGTAACTACACCTTGCATGTCTCTGTATAATTTAGCTTCATATAAAAGCTGGCCGATGTGTACCTCTCAGGCTGCACACAACATAGCCATCACCCAAGCATGTTTTCCAGGTTGGAGCCACCTTGTTTGACCAGCAACAGGGCTGTAGGACTCTGAGGGTTCTCGGGTCACCTGAAATCCCCAGCTGTGGGAAGAGCTGATGTAGCAGCATTGCTAAGGCTGGTCTGATTTATGCAGCAACCCAGCAGCCTTAATCAGACCAGCCCTGCCCTATTCCACCTCACCCCATCCCATAAGACCCGAGATCTGAGGAGGAGACTTATACCTTCTTCTCTGTGCCTGAGTTGCTGCAAGGAGGTGAAGGACCTCAGTGAGAACCAAGAGGATTGTAGTGGTGAGCAGGACACAGTGAGGTGTGTTAAGTGGAGTGACAATTGTGTATTTAAAGTCAGCCTGAAATAACACTTTTGTCCCATGACAAGGGGGGAGGAAAGCGTGTGAGGTTAGCTGGGTCTTCTTAAAATGCAAGTAGGGCATAGGTGTGTATAGGCCTGTTTCTTATGAAAATGGGTGTTCGTGAGTCTAAGTTTTGGATTATTTAGAGTACCTTGGAAAATTCCACCCTTGCAAATAATCTATTTTTAATACTTCATTAGTGCTCATGGTATGTGCTGATGCTGCCAGAGTGGATTCATATTCCTCTATCACCTCATGGCTCACAGAGGTGTGGTACTAATATCCAGTTTAATAATCTATTAATTATAAAGCTATTAATTAAATCCTCATTCTGGTTCATTACTTCATTAAGCCTGATAATTTCAGCAAGAAAAACTGGCAGCTGACTTTCAGTCACTTCAAGGCTATTAAACTAAAAGAGTGCAGATTTGGTGGTACATAACCCTGTTAAATAAATTTATAGTTGATCTTAGAGATGGAGAAATCTTTTCTCACAAAACGCAAAGCAGAGTTCTGCTATCGAGAGGAAATATTTGAATTATGGTGCCAGGTCCTCTTCTGCTCTAAGTATCTGTATAACACTGTTTCTTCCAACTCAGGTCAAGAAGGGTAAAACTTCAGCTTGAGTAGAAAGCCTCTACGAAGGCCGGTGCATTCCTACCTCACCCTCAGTAATTCATGTCACAATTTGAAAAGGGATTAAAACAGTAAAAGCAGCCCTGAACCAGCACCTTCTCTGGGAATACCATGCAGGATTCATTTTGTCCCTTCTCCTGTGTCTGTCCCATGCCTTGGTCTCCCTGGCCTCATCATAAATTTTGCTAGTGTGCGTTATTGGAATTATAATGACGGGTTATAAGTAATAAGACTAATAATAATTAGGTGTGTCTGAGTCTTAGATCCACCCTTATGTATAGACTGTCCTTAGACAGGTTAGGTGGCTTTTGGGCATCAGTTATCCCATAATAAGATGATAATTGTCTGTGCCATATGGGTGTAAAGAGAAAGAAGGTTTGCAAGAAGCAGTGAGATGATGTGGGATGTTATAATGCCAATGAAATGTGGCATCTTTTATAATGACTGAAACAGCAAGGGAAGGTAGAAGAGCAGCTGGGCTTCAACACGCAAGGCAACATGAGTGGAAAGCATTGAAACAAGCAGGATAAGAGAAACAGGTGAAGTGTTTGTGGGAGATTGCTAAATAGCAGGCAAAGGTGGAAGAGTGGAGTGTGAAGGCCAAATTGGCAGAAAGATGCAATATTGTCAGAAATACTTATTTTTTTTGCTTTTGCTAGGCTATTAATAAAAATCTCTCAAGATGTGGCTTAGGCAGATGAGTAGAGAACATTGAGGGTTCTTTGAAAATGTGATGTGTCAGTACTCACTGAATAGACCTAAATGTCATGCCTGCATTTCGGAAGCACTGTGGTGCATAGTATATGGATATTACACACAGATTTCTCCAAAAGGGGTCAAGCTCTAAGTTCCTAGGCTGAAAGGTTAATGGCTTTTCCCTAAAAAGCCTCAGCAAGGCTCTTGGAGGACAGACTATCTCATGCAACCTGCTGCTTTCTCAAGAAGAACCAAGTTAGTGGTTTCCAGGCATGTAATTTTAAAAAAAAAAGCAAAAAAAAAGTTTGCAAGTCATCTTCAGCAGGTGAAAATCACTTCCTGAATCACTTTGTGCAACTAGATTATTGTTAAATTCCTTGAACTGCTGGACTGGATGGGGTGTAGGTAATGAGCCAAGACTGGGTCTTTTGGACTGGAGGTTCCTGAGATCTCCACCCTGCTGATAACCTCATTACCAAATTTTTCACAACGCTTTTTGCGTGAGCCAGGCAATCAACAAAGAGTATATCTCTGCCTTGCTTCCAAGCTTATCTAGGGCGTGACACTAAGACACAGTTCGCAAGCTAATCTTCCAAGATATAGTAATTAAATCTTCATATTGGATCAATAAAAGTAGGACACATGCTAATGACTTCAAAATAAACAAGCAAGTTTAGAGGAGTTCCCATCCAGTAAAGGGAAAAAAATGAATGTATATATATAGACCAAATATTTGAGGGGCTTGGTTTAGAAAGAGTAGATTTACAGGGGGAAGGAGCATGTACAGGCTGCTCATCTTCCAGGCAGATGTGTAGATGAGCTGGCTGAGCAGGCAGCAGATCACAGTGAAGGTGAAAGCCTGGGGGCCGTAGCAGCTGGATGGGCAAACTGTGTTCTCAGAGGCTGGCAGCTTCCCAGGGAGACAGGGCAGGGTAAGCAGGGAGACTGGCGGCAATCCAGGCTGCTCAACGTGTTTTCATCTGGTGATTTAACGTTGCTGTAAAGTTTTCTGCAATCCCTTTTCTCTTTGAAGAGGTCCCTGGAAAATCAGCTGCGTCTGGATGTGGCTGCACGGGCTGCTTGTGGAATGAAGTGCACACCCTGATGTTCACGGGCACCTGCCTCCGCGGGTGAGGGCAAAATGTTAAATAGCAGTTATCAAAGACCCACCAGCCCAACAATGGGGAATTAGAGTTCAGACAGCTTTCACATTCCAGTTTCAGGGACAAGTTTAGCTATGAATTTTATTTGGCTTCTGCTAAACTGGGCTTTTAACTTGAAAAGACTGGCGGAGGTGCCCAATCATAATGGCAGTAATGTTCTTCTTGGGGCCAAATGGACAAG